ATTAGCATTAAATTTCTTAATTTAACCTTCAATTCTACTAAATTTGCATTCAATTTAATTCCATTAACATTTAATTCATCTAATATACTTTCAAAATGACCTTAAATTTCTTTATATTAATAGTCAATTTCATACAATTAACAATAAATTTATCAAATTAATATTTAGTTTCATCAAGTTAACATTCAATTCATCATATTATCACCAAAATAATCAACCTAACATTTAGTTCTTGCTTTTGTGAAATTGAATTTTGAATTGTTGAAATTAAATATTAATTTGGTGTTTATTTGATGGATTGGATCTCAATAAGATGAAATTAAATGTCAAATTCATGAATGTTAATGTTAATTTGATAAAATTGACTGTCAATTTGATGTTAATTTTATGAAATTCAATTTTAAAAAATAAAATTGAAGATTAATTTCATATTAATTTGAAGAAATTAAAACTGTAATTGATGAAATCAAATATTAATTTATGTTGATTTAATGAATTGAATCTTAATCGGATGAAATTGATTGTCAATTTGATGAATTTTGAAATTAATTTAACAAAATTGACAATTAATTTGGTGTTGATTTAATGAAATCAAATGTTAATTTAATATTGATTTAATGAATTGTTCATCAAATTAGATGCAATTGATTATTAACTTGATAAAAATTGTTTGTCAATTTAGTATTAATTTGATGAAAATGAATTTTAATAAGTAAAATTAAAGGAGAATTTGATGATTTTTTTTGAGAGGGGGATGGAGACTTTAACCCTTAACTTCAAGAAGACAAAATTTTTACGAGACAAAGAGTACTATTAAATCAAAAGACCCATTGAACCAGACTCCTATGCCCTTCTCTCAGCTCATCAAGCATTCATGGCTGTTTTTTAATGCAACCCTATTATGAGCTGAGTTTTAAGACAAATGCATTAAAGCTCCCATGTTTTATAATTTTTATTATTTCTATAATTCTTGTATCATGCATGCATTGCTTCTGTTATTTTATTTCATGTAATTATATTACATCGAGGGGTAAGGTATATACGTCCCTCTGATTAGGTGTAATTTAATTTTTTAATCAACAAAATTTTCTTGTACCATCAAGGTTCCACCCAAAAAAAAAAAAAACCAAAGGCCCATTGATGATGTTAATTTGATAAAATTGAATTTTGACATGGTAAAATGAATGGTCAATTTAGTGTTAATTTGATGAAATTGAATTTTAATAAATAAAGTTGACAATGAATTTGATATTAATTTGATGAAATTACATTTTGAATTGATGATATCTAATATTAATTTAGTGTTGATTTAATGGATTAGATGAAATTGGATATTAAATTCATAAAATTTTATATTTAATTTGATAAAATTGGTTGTCTGTATGGTGTTAAATTTCTGAAACTATAAATAAATTAAATTGAAAGCTAATTTATTTTTAATTTGATGCAATTTAATTGTAATTTGAGGAAATCAAATGTTAATTTGTTGTTTGTTTAGATGAAATTAAATTTTAAAATTCAAAATTTCAATGTTAATTTGATAATATTAACAATCAAGTTAGTTTTATTTGGATGAAATTGAGTTTTAAGAAATAAAATTTATGGTAAATTTATTATTAAATATAAATTAGAAAGGCTATTAGTGACGATCAATTTGGTGATAATTGCAAATTTAAGAATTTCATTGTTAATTTGGTAAAATTGACAGTCAATTTCGTGATCATTTGATGAAATTGAAATTTAATAAATAAAATGGAAGGTGAATTTGGTGTTAATTTGATAAAATTAAATATTATAGTATCAAAAAAATATTTTTAATTAATATAAATTTTAATCAGTAAAAAAATACAAATTCAATCGACTGATCGATCAGATTTTAGAATGATCTGAAATTCATTGTAATATTATTACAAATGATGGTATTTTCGATCCAAATATCATTCAATTTATCAAATCAACATTTAAATTCTTCGAATTAACATTTAATTAATCAAAGTAACACTATATTAACATTAAATTCATCTAATTAACATTATATTTATATCAAATTAACATCAAAATTCATCAAATTCAAGTTCACTTAATTAAATTCAATCCACCAAATTTATATCAAATTAACATTTAGTTTCTTCAAATTAATATTCAATTCGTCAAATTAACTTTAAGTTCATCCAATTTATAATCAAACTCCTCTAGTTAACAATCAATTCATCAAATTAATATTCAAATTCACCCAATAAATATTCAATCACAAATGTTATCGGGACTTATTTAACCCAACTAATAGTCAATTTTATTAAATTAACATTCAAATTTAAGTGACTAACATCAAATTCATCATATTAACATCCAAAATACTCAATTAATATTCAATTCATCAAATTAAAACCAAATTAACATTTTATCCATCCAAATTAAATTTAAATTCATCGTATTAACACTCAATTCATGAAATTAAACTACAAAATTATCTAATAAACATTAAATCCATCCAATTGACATTCACTTCATCCAACTAACATCAGATCAACACATAAATTATTCAATTAGCATTCAATTTATCAAATTAAGAATAAATTATCACTCAACTTCATCAAGTTAAAATTCAATCTTATTTAATTAATATTTAATTCATCAAATTTAACTATTTCTCATTAACTTCATCAGATCAACATCCAAATTAATTCAATTAATATTCAATTCATCAAATTAACCCAAATGTAATATTTAATGAATCCAATTTATATTTAATTCATACAATTAATATTCAATGTCATCCAATTAGCATTCAATGTATCAAATTAATATTCAATTTTAAATAATTAACATTTAATTCATCAAATTAACATCTAATATCATCTAATATCATTAAATTCATCAAACTAATAAGAAATTAATATACAGTTCATCAAATTAATATAAAATTTATATTTAATGTTAAAATGCCAAAAAATATTTGTCTACATATTAAAATTCAAGTTGACTAAATTTCATTTTTCTACATATTAAAAAATGAGCCAATTAAAATTCAAATTCGAGTTGATTAAAATTTTGAGCTCAACCTGAGCTACTAGTGCCTAGAACTAATTAAAATTTGATTCGAGTCAATTGTATTTGTAATTTTTTACTTCTGAAAATTTGATTCAAGTTGATGAAAATCTATTTTTTACGTATTAAAATTTTAATAAATAAAAAATAACGTGATGCTAGTCTGTGGACGAAATTTAGTTACTAAATTAATGTTTATTTACTAAAATTGGCGGCCAAGTTGGTATTAATTTTATGAAATTAAATTTTAATAAATAAAATTGAAGGTGGATTTTATATTAATTGTAGTGAAAGTGAATTTTGAATTGGTGAAATTGAATGTTTATTATTTGTTGTAAAATTTTAAATTTTATTTTGAATTGACAAAATTTTTAGTTGGTGAAATTAAATTTTATGAAGTTTATGATCTATCACAAGAACTTGAGATATATCAGAATGATACAGTAGTCTCTCCAAAAGTGATTTCCTAAGAGATTGTGATCGATCATAGAGTGAAATGATAGATTATTGTACTTCATGATAAATTTTTTTTTCTAAGAAGAAAAATTGCGGTTGATCCTATGTTTTTATGATAAATCATAGTACTATATTTTTTGTGATCTATCCCAATAGATTAGGATCTATTGCAAAAGTTTAGAATGTACCTTAAAATGTTAAAAGAATGTTTGAGATCGATCACAAGTATCCCTAACTTATTTTTTTTGAAAAATTGCAAGTTTGAGATCGATCACAATTGTCTATGATCGATCACAAGGTTACTAGAGTGAGATTTAACAAAAGTGTGAACAATTTACCACAATTGAGGACATATTTATCACCTTTGAGGGTAAGTTTACAATAATTGTGGATAAATTTACAAGTTTAGAAGTTAATTTACGACTATGCTGATTAATATTACTACTGTTTTGGTTAATATTATGACAATTCTGGGTAATATTACAAGGATTAAGGGTAAATTTTATGATACAAAAAGTTAAGTTAAAACTATGGTAACTAAATTTATCACAATTGGGGAAAGGTTATGACATCAAAAGAAAAATTTAATATAATTCATGGTTAAATACAATGATTATGTAAAATTTCTCACTAATGTCATAAATTTTTTATTGATGTTGTAATTTTGTCAACTGCTGTGATAATTTTTCCCATAAATATTTTAAGCTTAGAATGATTGTAGTTAAGGTTATTAGTACATAAACAAATTTTATTTTCATTTTGGTTAATATTACAAGAACTGTAGATAATAATGCAAACTTAAAGGTAAATTTATGACATCAGTAAGATGCACTAGTATTATATTTACGACTAATGTGGTTAAAAGTGTCAATTGTATTTTTACTACCATATTGATTAAAGTTTGCTTACTACTGTTGTAATTTATCTCTTACTGTTGTAAATTTTTTATTGATGTTGTAAATTTGCAACTACTTTTGTAAATTTTTTCACTGATATTGTAATTTTTTAACTGATCGATCAATCAATATTAGTAATCGATCACAAACCCACAAAATATAATTTTAGTACTACAAATAATGGTAAAAATTTGCTCACTGTTGTAGTAATTGTACCAATTATTGTAATAAATTGTCTATTGATGTTATAATTTTACCTATTATTATTATAAATTTTTCACTGATATTATAATTTTTATTATTATTATAATAATTTTGTTTACTTGTAAATTTTTTACTAATATTATAATTTTATTTTTGTTAATTATAGCCATAAATTTTTTACTAATATTATAATTTTATTCTCAATTGATAGCTTTTAGTATGGTGTCGAAATATTCTATTTCCGTACCGTACTGGTCCTCCAGAAAATAGACACCCAACATGGCCATGAAGAACAATATTCACTAATGATGATACGATGGGGAAAGAGAGAGAAAAGGTCATGTCATGATAGTGATGTGCATGAATGAATGGATTCATGGGCGTGAGTAGACGTACAAGTCTAAGCATCTGGTTCTCATTTTGCGAAGTGGACAGCCTCTCTTCAAGCTCAGAATTCTTCTTCTCCAAGTCTTCAACCCTTGCCTCCAACTCAGTTAGGTACACCTTCTTTCTCTCTCTTGCTTGTTGCGCTGAAACTCTGTTCCTCAGCAACCTTTTCCCACATTTCACGACAAGGGAACTCAAAATTACCAAAATGCCACTAGTACCCAAATAGATTGCAAAATGTTCTAACAGCCATACTGCCTGTAAATCCACTATCATCATGCCACGTCAGATGCCCAATCAAGTGGGTGGGCAATATGCTAGCGTGACAAGATCTGGTGTGTAAGGATTCGAAGTAAATTTTTTTGACAAATTACACTTTTACCCGTTCAATCATGACATTGATCTCCTGTCCACCTCTCAACTATCAAATTTCTCTCGACTACTAGGATTTTGTAACAAAACTTACATCTTTAATATATATGTAATTAAGACAATGTAAAATCAATAACTATGGTTGGAGAGGTAATGTGGAATAACTTCATTTTAAGGGATCCTCTGTAAAGGAACAGCCATAATTTTAAGAACGAGGTGAAAAATGAGAAATGTGATAATTGAGGGGGTCAAA